CTGCCTGCTCTTCTGCTGTCCCTTCTGTCACATTACTGGATTTTAAGGGGAGCAGCCAGGTCACTGCAGCACTCATGGGGTGGTGTTACCCCAAAGTCTGTAAAAAGGGGGCCATGTGAGGTGTCAAATGAAAGCTTATGTTCTACTGATTCTATATGTGCTACTCATATAATTGTGTGATGTCTGCATGTGGAGTTATGAATATGGGCTCTGTGCTGGTGCTGGAATGGTCTCTGACTGAGACAGAGATGGGCCTGACCTGAAGAAGGAATGTCCAATGAATCACTATGCTAATTAGCACAGTTCCAGGGACAATGGCTCTCAAGGTGTTCAATACATACCTGAGGAATGCATCTGGAACCTGCAAACCAGTCAGTATCTGATATCTGCTTACATGGGACACAGAGAGTGTGTCTAGACTACAGGGTTTTGTCGACAAAAGTGGACTTTTGTCGAAAAAAACTATACCTGCGTCTACACTGCTGCTGAGTTCTGTCGACATAATGTTGACAGAACTCAGCAGTTTTGTCGACAGCTGTAAACCTCATTCTACGAGGAATAACTCTTTTTGTTGACAGAGATCTGTTGACAGAACTGCATCTATTCTATCCTTTGCATCTACACTGACATGTCGACAAAGTGGCTTGCTTTGTCAACAGAACTGGATGTAGGCTAGATGCTCATTGTCTACAGAAACTTCTGTCAGCAAAAGCCTGTAGTCTAGACGTACCCAGAGATAGGTAACGGCCATGTGACCTGCTCTAGCTTGGAAGGTACCAGGGATGGATATAAACTGCATGTGGCAAACTTCATCTTGTCTTCAATTTTGCTCCTGATCCCAGAGGCAGCCTTGTGAGGGACAGAGAGCCAGGAATAATTGTGGACTCATCGTGACATGAGAAGGATACCAGAGACTTTTAAGATAGCAGTTTATAACATCTCTGCTGAGAGCCTGCATCAAGAACTTGGTGATTGGTGCATGTAATGTATTTTCTTTAACAACCTTACACTCCACCTTTCTTTTTCTTTTATCTATAAACCTTTAGATTATAGATTCTAAAGGATTGGCCCAGTGTGATCATAGAACCATAGAACCTCAGAAGGTCATCAAACCCAGCCCCCTGCTCTAGGCAGGATCAATCCCAACTAAATCAACCCGGCCAGGGCTTTGTCAAGCCGAGACTTAAACGCCTCTAGGGATGGAGACTCCACTACTTCCATAGGTAACCCATTCCAGTGCTTCAAAACCCTCCTAGTGAAATAGTTTTTCCTAATATCCAACCTGGACCTCTCCCATCACAACTTGAGACCATTGCTCCTTGTTCTGCCATCTGTCACTACTGAGAACAGCCTCTCTCCATCCTCTTTGGAACCTCTCTTCAGGAAGTTGAAGGCTGCTATCAAGTCCCCCCTCACTCTTCGCTTCTGCAGACTAAACAGACCCAAGTCCCTCAGCCTCTCCTCATAAGTCATATGCTCCAGCCCCCTAATCATTTTGGTTGCCCTCCGCTGGACCCTCTCCAATGCGTCCACATCCTTTTTGTAGTGGGGGGCCCAGAACTGGACACAATACTCCAGATGTGGCCTCACCAAAGCCGAATAAAGGGTAATAATGACATCTCTGGATCTGCTGGCAATGCTCCTCTTAATGAAACCTAATATGCTATTAGCCTTCTTGGCTACAAGGGCACATTGTTGACTCATATCCAGCTTCTCATCCACTGTAACCCCCAGGTCCTTTTCTGCAGAACTACTACTTAGCTGGTTGGTCCCCAGCTAATAACTATGCTTGGGATTTTTCCATCCCAAGTGCAGGACTCTACACTTGTCCTTGTTGAACCTCATCAGATTTCTTGTGGCCCAAGCCTCCAATTTGTCTAAGTCACTCTGGACCATATCTCTGCCCTTAAGCGTATCTACCTCTCCCCGTAGCTTAGTGTCATCCACAAACTTGCTGAGGGTGCAATCCATCCCCTCATCCAGGTCATTAATAAAGATCAATAGATCAAAACTG